AAAAAAAAAAAAGACACAAAAAAAAAAGAAAAGAAAAACACCCACACTACACTCTCCCCATACTCAACACGCCTCCCAAGCGCTGCCGGCGCTCGCAGCCCGGGGGCAGGGTCCAGCCGAGCCGCCCGGCCCCACCAGCGGGGAGCAGCGCTGCCGACCCCGTCCCCGCCAGAGTGCCCCACGCCCCCCGCGCATTCCGGGGCTCCTGAGGGGCTCTCCGGCCGGGCAGTCCCGGCCTGTCCCGTCCCGTCCCGTCCCTCCCCCGCCGCCCCGCTCACCTGGGCCCGCCGCGTCCCCCCCGCGGCACCGCCTGTCGGGCCCGCCCGGCCGGGGCTGCGGCCGCCACATGCCGGACCCCGGCCCGAACCGGGCGGAAAGCGGCCCCGGCACCGGCCCCTCCCCGCCGGGGGCGGGCCMGAAGCAGCTCCACCGCCCCGGGGAAGGAGAGGGCGGCGGGCGGGACCGGCTCTGGAGGGTGGTGCGGGCGGCGCGGGGAGCGCTGCCGTCGGGGCTGGGTGCGTCCAGAGTCCCGGGGAGGAAGGGGCCTCTCCAGGCTCCGCCCGCGCAGGGCTTTCAGGCTGTCCAGGCWCTGTTCCCGCAGGTCTGCAGCACTGAGTTAGGGTAGAGGGGAATCACGGAATCCCACAATCAGTCAGACTTGAAAGGACCACAGTGGTCCCACCTCCCTGCTCAAGCAGGGTCATCCTAGAGCACCTGGCACAGGATTGTGTCCAGATGGCTCTGGTGAGGGAGACTCCACAACCTCTCSGACCATCGGTTCCAGTGCCCACACAATAAAGAAGTTCTTCCTCATATTCAGGTWGAATTTCCTATGCGTCAGTTTCTGCCCATTKCCTCTTTTCCTATTGCTTGGCACCACCAARAAGARCYGGGCTCCATCYGCTTGACAYCCTCCCTTCAGATATTTGAAAACATGGATTAGGTCCCTTCTCAATTGTCTCTCTTGAGGCTGAACAGGCCCCTCAGCCTTTCCTCATCAGGGGSATGCTCCAGTCCCTTAATCATCTCTGTAGCCCTCTGCTGAATCTGCTCCAGACACTCCATGTCTGTCTTGTACTGAGGAGCCTGGAACCGGACACAACACTCCARATGTGGTCTCACCAAGGCTGAGTASAGCAGCAGGATCCCCTCCCCTGACCTGCTGGCAATGCTCTTTCTAATGCATTCCAGGGTTCCATCGGTCTTCTTGTTCATGTGGATGTGGGCATGGCTTATGGACAGCTTGGTGTCCACTGGCACTTTCAAGTCCTCTCCACAGAGCCAATTCCCATCAGGACAGCCCCTAACCCATACCAGTGCTTGGGACTATTCCGTCCCAGGTGCAGGACACAACCTGTGCTGCACATACCTACCTACACATATGGTCTCTGTCTCACACGTCCCGCCATCACAGAGATATGGCTACAACAAATATAAATATCAAATATACGGAAAACAATTTCTTTTCAAGTTTAGCAATATGAGCATTGCTTGGTCTCAGAGACATCATGTGACTGTTTGTGAGCTCTCCTCTGGTGCTGTTTTGCGTGAGATACTGAATTTAGCAAGATGTGAACAATTATTATGGTATTCATTGGCTTCAAGTAGCCATAAACATCTTGGAGCAGGACTTGAAGGGACACTAAAAAAGTTGGCAGATGATGCAAAATTGGGTGGAGCTGTTGACTCCCTTGAAGACAGTGAGGCCCTGCAGAAAGACTTTGATAAAGGGCTGGACAATCACCAGCCCTGTGAAGTTCAGCCAGGGACTCTGCCAGATGCTGCACCTTGGATGGGGCAACAGTGGATGTATGGAAAGACTGGGGAASAAGATGCTGGAAAGCAGTGCTGTGGAAAGGGACTTGGGTATCCTGGTCGATGGTAAGTTGAATATGAGCCAGCAGTGCCCAGGCAGCCAGGAGAGACAAGYRTGTCCTGGGGTGCATCAGGCACAGCATCGCCAGCCGGGCAAGGGAGGGGATTGTYCCACTCTGCTCTGACCTGGGGCAGCCTCACCKCGAGTGCTGGGGGCAGATTTGGGTGTCACAATATAGAAAAGAGATTAAACTGTTAGAGAGGGTCCAAAGGAGGGCAGTGAAGATGGTGAAGGGCCTTGAGGGGAAGCTGTGTGAGGAGTGGCTGTGGTCACTTGGTCTGTTCAGCCTGGAGCAGAGGAGACTGAGGGGAGACCTCATTGCAGTTACAACTTCCYTGTGAGGGCAAGTGGAAGGGCAGGTACTGATCCCTTCTCTGTGGTGACCAGTGTAAGGACCCAAGGGAATGCCCTGAGCTGTTTCAGGGGAAGTTCAGGCTGGGTATCAGGAAAAAGTTCTTTACCCAGARGGTACTTGGGCACTGGAACAGGCTCCCTAGGGAAGAGATCACAGCACTAAGTCTGACAGAGTTCAAGAATAATTTGGACAATGCTCTCAGGTACATSATGTGGCTCTTTGGGTTGTCCTGCACCGGGCCAACAGTTGGACTCAATGATCCGRTGGGTCCCTTCCAGCTCAGAATATTCTGTGATACTGTGAATTCTCTGTATGGTAATTTAATTGCTTTTGTATGACTCCACATACCTTTATGTTGCAGAGCTTTTTAATTTTATGGTAAGGTGCTATCATTTATATATATATATATGGGTTTTGGTTGGGATAGAGGCAATTTTCTTCATGGTAGCTTATTTAGGGCTTGTGACCAGTGTCAGGGATGCTTAACTGTGCAGTGCTTACACTGTTTCTCCAATTACCCTGCCAAGAAGCAGGTATACAAGAAGCTGGCAAGGGACATAGCTGAAACAGCATGACCTAAACAACCCAAGGGACATCCCAAACTACATGTCCACATGGTGTCAAGCCAAACAGTACAGGCTGGGGGAAAGAGGGGAAAGAGGAGAAAGAGAGAACATTCAAATTTATTGCATTTTTCTTCCAAGTTCACTGTTATGCGTGATAGAGCCTTGCTTTCCTGGAGATGACTGAACACCAGCCTGCCCATGGGAAGGGGTGAACGAGTTCCTTGTTTTGCTTTGCTTGCACATGTGGCTTTTGTTTTACCAATTGAATTGCCTATGCCTCAGCCCATGAGTTTTCTCACTTTTACCTCTCTGATTCTCTCTCCCATCCTACTGGGGAGGGAGGTGAGTCAGCGAGTGGCTGCATGGGGATTAGCTGCCTGCCAGAGTTAACCTTTAATATACAGCAAATGACTTCAAGTCCTTTTCCTAAAATCACTGTACCTTTCCTGATTCTGCCCTCTTGAACTTGCATATCATTAGAACAACAAGAATTTCTGTTAAAATCCCCTTTCCTGTTTTGTGCTTTAGGCAATTTTAGTCCTCCATCATTTCCTGTGTATTTACTCCTTCCTAGTTAAAACACATAACTTTGTGCTGTCCCTTACTGACAGTTTTCTTTCTATTGTTATTCATAATTATGAGCTTTATATAAGTTAATTAGTGTCCACTGACTACCGCTTTTATTGACTCTGCTAAAGTGATCCCTGCTTCACTCATGGACCATCATATCCACTGTATTAACCACGTACATTAAATCAGTGTTTTCTAGATGGCTTCTGTCCATCCTAATCTTCAAGAATGCTCCTTCCTTCTCAGATGCAGGAAATGCARTTGTAAGTTAAATATACCATCCTGTACACAAGGAAGTTTTCACAACATTCAGAGAAGTTGCTAAAAAAAGCCCAGGTTTATCTAACAACTGTCATCTTATAGATTTTCTCTGGTTTCAGTCCATTTACTGAGAAATACAGGACACGCTAAGGGAGTTTTGACCTCCTGTTCCAGTCTGTGCCCTTCCGGACTTGTGAGGGAAGACAGCAAGTAGCTGTGCCTCACATGCCAAAAACAGTCACACATCCTTCTCCTTCTTCCTTCAGCCTTTCAGTCAGTGCTAGCTCCCATCATTTAGAAAGAAATTGGTTGTAAAAGGGCAGTCTTATGGGTGCAGACAAAGGGCCCATCTAGTGCAGCCTTGCCTCCCGCTCAAAGCCAGGACAAGAGCAGGAAAAAGGCAGCACCCACAACACTTCCCCTTTGCACTCTCCCACCCACCCTCTGACCAATGTGTGCTCAGGGGGCTTCTCAGCTCTGTTTGGTTTGTTGAGCCAGTGGCCTGCGGTGGCTCTCACACTCTCTGAGGGTTTGCCCACCCTCACCCTGAGCCCACTTCAGCTCTTGGCCCACACAGCATCCATGGGTGAGGGGTTGCCCTGGTCTCACCTGCTGCACAAGGCACCAGTTCTTGTTCTGAGCCTGGCTCTGGCTTCCTGCCTTTGAGAGCTCCTGGATTTTTGTGCTTAAAAAACAGAGATTTTTCCCAATGTGTTTGCGCCTCTGATGATTTCCTGTGTTAACACATCATGCAGTCTCTTTTCCAAACTGTGCAGCGCTAAACTAATCAGACTGGCCAAATTATTTTCTGTTTCTGCTTTTTAGGATGAGGGGACTAAATGTAATGGATGTAACCCATCCTTTATGGATTCCTGCAGGGACATCTTCATGTTTGCTGTTGTGTTCTGTGTTCCTTTGCAAACGTTCTGTAGCATTTGATTGAGTGCTGCCACACACTTGACTGATGATTTCTGATGTGTAATTAACACCATGGTTTCCTTCTCAGTGTCCGTGMTCATTTCAGAGCTTTTTATCTTGTATGAGAGGCAAGGATTTTTCTTCCTGGTAGGTGCTGATTTAGTCTGCACACAGGGAATTTCATCTGTCACTTGATTGCCCTGTGTCTCAGTTTGAGACAATGTTTTCAGAGAAAAATGTTACACAGTAAATGTTTCCTCTGAAGTGAAAAATTTGGTATTTTTTTCCCACCAATATGAAATAGATGTTGGGGCAAAAAGTGAAGAGAAAAAAAAGTAGYTTATTAACAAACCACAGTGCCCACAGGACACAGATAAAAAGTAACCGTTAGATATTTAAAAGTCCAGAAATGCCCACTGACCCCTCTCTCCACAGCCGCTCGGCCACATGGTGCRGAGAAGATGGAATGTCTCCCCCCAGGAAAAAAAGAAACAAAAGAAAAAAAGTCCACATGGCGCTTGGGCAACAGTGGAAAAACCTGATGGTATCCTCTTCTCACTGTGGATGAAACAGAGGGTTTGGTGTGGTTTTCTGTCGCTGGCTTGGCTTCTTCAGGAATCTGGAATGAGGCGGCTGCTTGTCCCCGCCGGCCGCCAAATTGCTCCAGAAGAAAAGCCACACAAGTCGGAGAAAAGGGGTGGCGGTCCTGGAAAAGCTGTTTGCCCAAGCTAACAAACCCGAGCTAGCTAAASAGCAACAGAGTAACTCCCCTGCACAAAGCGAGCAAGGACTCCTGCAGCGTCGATGCTGAGGTCCAAAAAGCCCCTGGCTGCATAGCAGCCCTGGCTTTTAWACTGCCC